GCCGGGTAATCCATCCCCCAGCGGAAGCGGAAGAAGCAGAGGAGGAGGAGGAGAAGCGGCTCGTCGAGGAGGCGACTGAGGAGAGTTGCTAGGACACCACTAACCCACCAATCGCAAGACGGCAATCTCCAAAGGGCGGGGCCAAGGGATGCTTTCCCCGGGAGAAGGGCGGGATGAAGGGAAACGCAAGCGCGGTTGGGGGCAGGGCAGGGGAGGGGGGGAAGAGAGCGGGATAAAAGGGAGGAGGAAGGCGAGTCGCCCTTAAGGAGTTAAGCCGCCTGTATACCGCTTGGTCCCCCGCCAAGCTTACTCAGAAGTAAGGGACAGAGTGGGAGAATCCCGCCCTCTTCAGTGAAGGTGGCTTTGTCGTATGTGGACGATTGCAGCCTTACTGTTTTTGCAACTCTCGGGAAACACCTCCCTTGCACGGTGTTTTTAGTCCTCTTTGCAACACCCTTACGAGAGCAGATTAATATAATGTAGTAGAATTTCTCCTTTCTAGACGGGAACCCTGCCTAAGGGGAGGTAAAAGGAGAGGAGAGGCGACTTGAATCGGGAACTGTCCAGCTCCGTCGCGCTCTCGGATACAATCCCATCCCATCCTATTCCTGTCCCTCCAGAAGCATGTCTTGTTGAGTTCCAGCGGGTATTCTGCTAAACAAAAGTGCATCCGGTTGTAGCCTTCGATACTGAGTTGTACCGGCCTTCTCCCCCCCTTTTTTGTTGGGAGATGTTTTTTGATCATTTATTTATACATTTGACCTGTTTATTTGATTTATATACCACCCCTTCATTACAAGCACTACTCTGGGCAGCTTGCAGATTAAAATTTAAAGCCCCACAAGGTCCCATATAATGAAGAAAGGCTAGCAATGAGCTCCAATGGTGGCCTTGAGTGAGCAGTGGTCCGCTGGGCAATGCACATTGCAGTGGTGCACGTTTACTCTGTAGTCATTTATATGGTCCACTTGTGGAAACCTCTGAAATCCCATGGTTGAGCAGCCAGGTTCTCTTGAGTGTAATGCAGTCATGCTGATTAAATGAGAAGACCGAACAACTTGCCTGGCATGCCAAGGAGAGTTAGAACAAGTGGGAACTGTGGAGGAATTCTGCTTGCTCTGAAGGAGAACCACAGATGAGGGGTTGGAACAGACACGGACTCACCACCAGAACCCCTGTGTCTGTACAAAAGATTGGGAAGAGAGAACAAGTTGCTTTTCTTTATCCTCCTCCTCATTACTGTATCATCATCACCATCATCTTTATTAATTATATTTATACTTCACTTTTCCACTAAAAGACAGTGCTTAAGGCAGCATACAAAGATTTTAAAAGAAATAACATGGGGACAATGCTATGTATTTTTGAGCAGACTGTTGGTGGTAAATTACTTTTTCTGCCCCAATCTCTTTCTCCACTTGGTCTAAAAGCTCTCTGGCACATCATGTAGGTTGTTGGCCCTTCTTATTTAATCAGTGGATCACCTCTGATTAGGGCTTTACTGTGTTTCCCAAAAAATAAGACAGGGTCTTATATAATTTTTTTGCTCCAAAAACACATTAGGGCTTATTTTCAGGGGATGTTTTATTTTTGTCATGCACAACAATGTACATTTATTCAAATACAGTCATGTCATCTTCTGGTTGCTGCACAATGGTGGAGGGCAGGGTTTCACTTAACTGGGGCTTATTTTGGGGGTAGGGCTTATATTACGAGCATCCTGAAAAATCATACTAGGGCTTATTTTTGGGGAAAACAGGGTATCTGTTTCAGGGAATGTGAGTTGGGAAACTGCACAGCTTTACTAGAAGGAGCTAAATTGAAGGGTGGGGCAGTTGTGCTGCCTCTGCATTGGTCCTGGAAGCTCTCCATGGAGAAAAACAGTAGACTATGAGTGCAGCTTATTTTCATAACGGGAAAGTGATGAGAGTCAATGTGGCATAGTGAAGCTGTTTACGAGAAGAGACGTGGATATTGTAGCCCACAATCAGTTACAAGGCTTGGAAGAGTTACTTTTTGCACTACAAATCCCAGAATCCCCCAGCTAGCTGGCCATGATGGCTGTAGGCATTCTGGGACTTGTGGCACAGCAAAATAAATTTTCCAAATTCAGAATTTGTTTATCACAATTATGGTGTGCATGTTGTGTTGCTCGAAGTATCTTTAAAATAAATATGGGCACTCATACTTTAAGCAGTACAGCTTGTGCTTAGCACCTTTCTGGCATCCTTTGCTTTGTTTACTTGTGCCTTTTGGATGCTTTCCTCTTTTTTTAAAAAAAATAAAAGTGTAATGCTACAAAGAAAGTCTTTCTGTTTTCCTTCTCCAAGGAATAGATTAGCACCAAAGAATTCTAAAGCCTACAATACCCATATTCAAACCCTGGGACCAGATGTCCTCAAAACTCTACTCCTAAGTCATAGTAGTTGAAGAATAAACAAACATCTGTGACTGACGTAGCTGCCTTTCAAATAGGCTAATACCTCTGTCGGGGCAAATCACTTTGGAGAAACAGACCAAGAGACAGCAGAATCAAAATGAAGATAGCTTTTGTTCTCATTTTGATCCTTCTAATCAGTTTCATAGGTAAGTATTATTAGCAGGGGTCATGGGGTGGGTAGGATAAATATTATCTATGTGGAGCTTTCATAGACAGCAAAGTAGTTCATGCTATTTCATATTAACCTTCCATGGTTCTGTTTGAGCATCTATGGCATAATATAATTTCATCTCAGGTTATATTGTAGCTTTTTAATACAACTTCATAAGTGTGCATCTGTCACAGCTAACTGATGAAAGAGCCCCAACAATCCAATTCTAGCAGGTTCATCTGGGAGTAAGCTTTAATTAATTTGAAAGAGTTTGGAGTTTGAAAGAAATCCTGCATGTGGAAAGCATAGATCAATTAAAAACATACTGCTATCCTTAATACATGTCCTAGGACTTGCTCCATATTCAATTCAGGGATTCTACTTCTGCATAAATGAACTTACAATCATGCTGTATGGCTTCATTCCCACATAATCCTATGTGGAAGTAAGTGCCTCTAAGATTACTGGATTTAACTTCCATTTAAAATTGTTATGTTTTTTTTTCATATTATGTGAACCTGCCTTTGTTTGGCTGTTACTATTTTACTATGGTTGCTTTCAAAATTGTTGCATTTTCTTCTGTGTTTGATAATATTGTCAAAACAAAAGGACTGTGAGGGGCTTAGTGGGTGTTCTCCCTCCCGAAGTGGATGAGAAATGTGCAAAAGCATTCCTTCTCATCCCAGTGGGGCTTGTTCAGAAGATAACATCTGAGTGGATTGTGCCCAATGGAGAAGAAGGGTACTGTAAATCAGATTAGAAACAGATGATCAAATATACTTTCCTCCTTTTGGAAAGAGGTGTATTCTAGATAGTTTTTGTTTATTGTAACACATCCTGCTTATAAACAAGCTCTAGTTTATTCAAAATAGTTTCAGAATCTATCCATACGACCTGGAATTCAATACCCTCTTAAGAGGGTGCTGTAATTAAAAAAATACTTTGTATGTTGTAATGTACATACATATGATATATTTATATACATACTTACATACGCATAAGCCTTCCAAACATTTTGTCTTACATCTTGACAAAGGTGTAAGACAAAGGTGACAAACAACTTTAGCTATTGTTGTTAATTTCATTTTCTTTGTTTTTCTTTTTTTAAAAGATGCCTCACCTCTACTGCCAGAAAAACAAGCCAAGCAGCTTCTGAGAACCCGTCGTGAAGACAGACCAAGAAAAGCTGGCTTCCCTGACGAACCGATGAGGGTGATTCTTACATTTTTTTTTTGTTTCAGCATTCCACATGTTGGTGGTATTTTGTTTCCCTCTTAATTAGATATTCTAATCAATCAATGTGTTGCTAAGCATTTTAAAATACTGTTGTGGAGAAGGACTGTAGAAGTAGGATTATCCCTTATCCCCTGTCCTTTGTCCTTCTAAGGAGCCTATTCAGACTGGGGTGAGGGTGGGGGAGTGAAACCAACATGGAGGATATATCAGGGATCTCCTGCCAACTCTCCTCAGACTGAAGAAGCCACTTGGATGAGTAGTGAAACATTTCAACCTAATAAGAAAGAAGTCCAGTTGCCATGACTCAACTTCCAGATAACCTCACCTGAATGACTGAGAATCTTCACAGATATATTTAGCTGGTGTCATTTTAGGACACTTCGCTGGCTACAATGGGAACTGAGTAACCAACATCCTGCCTGTCAGGATGTACACAAAAGGTGACGTTGGGGAAACAGTGCTTGACACCATGGCCTGCAGTGTCCCTCAGTGCTTTGCCGTATCCCTTATAGTTTTAACATCTATATGAAGCCACTGGAAAGTCCTTTGGAGCTTTGGAGTAAGGTGCCACCAAATTGCTGATGACAACCAGCTCTACTGTTCCTTGTCCCTTAACATTGAGAAAGCAGGCAGGAACCTTGAATGTTGTCTGAGCTCAAAAATGGGCTGGATGAGAATGAAAAAGCTGGAACTAAATCCTGACAAGACAGAGGTATTGCTGGTTAGTATAAAGTCGGATTCAGGAATTGGGATTCAGCCTGTTCTAGAAGTGGGTATTGACAGGTCATGTTCATAATCTGGGAGTGCTTCTTGACTCTGCGCTGCCACAGAACTCCCAGGTGGCAATGGTGATGAGACATGCCTTTCCACGGCTCCACCTAGTGTGCCATTTACAACTTTTCTTGAGTTGGCCAGACTCGGCAACAGTCATCCATCCTTAGTTCCATCATACTTTAATCACTGCAATGCACTCCACATAGGGCTGCCCTTGAAAAATGTCTGGGATCTTCAATTGGTACAACACTCAGTAGATTGGCTACTAACTGGTGTGTGGTGCTGTAATCATATGAGCCCAACACTGAAAGGCGTGCACTAATTGCCCATTGCTTACTGAGCCCGATTCAAGGTGTTGGTCTTAACCTTCAAAGCCCTGAATGGCTTGGAGCCTGGCTAACTGAGGGGTCACCTATCTCATTATGAGCCTGTCCAGAGTTTAAGATATTTAGGAGAGACCCTCTTAAAGAAGCCAACCAAACAAGCACATGGAAGAGGGGTTTCTCCTGTGTGACTCCTAGGTTATAGAAGGCACTCCATTCCAAGATGCAATCTGTTTAGACTCTGACTGATTTTAAGAAGGGAGCAAAAAACACATCGTTTTAGACCAGCATATGATAGTTAACTGGCACTGCTGAGTTGTTTTTAATCTGTATTCTTTGTAACTTTAATATATTTCACTTAATTCTAATGGTTTTGCAATGGAACAGGTATATATGATTTGATTTGATTGTTTTTTAACTAACTGTGGTTTTATCTTTTTAAAAAACTCTTTTAAAAAGTTTGTAAGCTGTCCTGAGCACTATCTTTTATTGGAATGGCAGGGTATAAATATAATAAGTAATGATAATAAATAACTGTGAGCATTTTGTTAAAAAAAAATTCTTTTTAACAGGAGTACATGCTTTACCTTCAGCAGCTGGAGCAACGATCTGAAGAACAGTTCCTTGAGCACTGGTTGAATCCACACTGCTACCCACATTGCAACAGGGATTTAGTTTATCCAGTGTAAATGGCCTTGTTTTTTCTCATGAGTGTAAGCATTTTTCTTTTTCCATCTCCACCCACCCACAGTTCTTTCTGAGCAGAAATCTAGATGTTGTAATTTCTGCCGTGTAGTAGGATTTTTAAATATAGCAAATCAATGTTTTACAATACTGTACTTTTTCTCAGATTATCTTCTATGCGAAAAAAGGGGGTGGGGGGACAGTAGAGTTTTGTTTATCGCAATAGGAACTGCAAAAAGTATGTTTGATTTCATATGCATAGGTGTGCATTTAAAACAAAATCTGCCTGGTCCTAGGCAACAATCCTGTGCACGCTTATCTGAGAGCTGTCTCTGCTAAAAATAGTAGTATCTACCTTCGAGTGGGCATGTATTCTTTTTGTTTTTCTCTTTCTGGATATTATTAAGAGCTGCCATATACAAAGGGACTGTAGTAATGATGGTGTACTGCATTCAAACTAGTCTCTATCACACAGAACATCTTCTCCTTCCTACATTTCTTTTCCTTTTTATTAAACTTTTAACTTGTACTTTGTATTTCTCATTATGCAATCAGTGTGCTTCAGCTTTTTGTGTTTTATGACTTCTTTGTCTTTGTTCAATTGTCTTTGATTTTTTTCATTGGTCACCCTCTTGAGTTGCTTATTGTTGTTGTCGTTTAGTCGTGTCCGACTCTTCGTGACCCCATGGATCAGAGCATGCCAGGCCCTCCCGTCTTCCACTGCCTCCCAGAGTTGGGTCAAATTCATGTTGGTAGCTTCGATGACACTGTCCAACCATCTCATCCTCTGAGTTGCTTATAGAACCTGTGAATTACACAACAGGGACTTCTAATTTAGTATAGAGACGATTCCTTAGAAATATTTTCCCATTATATTTATTTTCTATGGCCTTCTGAAGCAGGCTTTTTAGCAGCTGTGAATGGATTAGAAACAAGACTGCTAGATGTGAGGCTTCTAGTTGCTATGACTTTCATCATCCTGCTCTCCTCTCTGAGACTTCAATCCTGTCATAGGAATAAACATCTTTAAATATTGGAGGCCTTAATTCTCAGGCCAGAATCCTATCACTGATTCACAGAGTTAAGCACTTAAGCCTGCACACCAACCCTGTCAGGTAGGAGTATTAAAACACTCACAGAATATAAGGACTCCAGTAAGTGATCAACGCAAGGCCTTTCTTTAGTACCAATCAATCATTTCCCCAAAATAATCAACTGCTATAACATTTTATTATTTTATTGAAGGCATTACAGAAAGAAGTCCAAAAGAATAAAGTTCCAAATTGTTCCAAAATATAGTCTCAGAAATACAAAAACAGTCAAAAAAAAGTTGGAGCAAATCAGCATTAACAAGGATATTACAGCAAAGGCAACTTCAGAACAGGTCCCACAGAAAATAGGAAAGTTATAGTATGCTAACACATTCAAGCAGAACTTCAGCATAATTTCAGAACATATACAGAGAATAAAGTAGTAGCTGAGCATAGTGTTCTCTCAAGAGAGACTAGACTAAACCAAGCAAGAATTCTTTCCATTTTTATACCCATCATTGCACTTTCTAGACCTTGTGAGGGAATTCACTAATCAGGACTCAAGTCACCCAGAATCTTCTCAAAGAAGAGGGTAACTTCTCCAGAGTAACTTCTTTCTCTTCCACTCCCTTCACTTTAGCTAAAACCAGTTTTGTTAATTAGCTTGCACCAGGAGTTATTTGGCTTTAAAATTCCTTCTTACAGAGATAGGACACAGGTGGCAAAACTTTCCAGTTAATGGGCAAAATTTCCCACCTTTGCTGGCCTACTACAGTAGTTTCAAGTACAAGCCAACAAACCTGTATTTCAAAGGGCAGCTGAAACCACCATCCTTCCCTTTTTCCAGTCTCTTGACAAAGAGGAATTACATAGCAAGAACTTGTCTCATCTCCAGGGGTATGCAAATTACCTTTGTTCAGCGATTAGTCTTCAGGACCTAAATAATGAGATTGCTTTGAAGCCTGATTTCACAAAGCCAGGAGACAATCACCTCTCTCCAACACCAACATCCTTTTAGCACAAATTATGGGTTGTCTGTACTGTTTGCTTCTGGCCCGACTGTATTTAGACAGTGCACAGATGCCGTTACAATTTCAGGAATGAATTAAAATAAAATTATATCCTACTATAATAGAAAACTTCCACACACACACACACACAAAGAATGGAAACAAACAAAGTTATTTGGAGACATAAGAAAATAACAGTATTTCTGCAGGTATAATAATTTTGTAATTAAATGCAAGTCTTTGCTTATTAGCATACGTTTATTGCCTAATGTAATACATGCTTCTCTGTTTTTTCTATCTAATCAGATTTTAATTAAGCATGTTGAGAAAGAATTTTTTGTGATGACACATTCATTTAACAAATGCAATTTAATTGTTACTTTGAGAACAATATCTCAGCACTGTTTCCTAGCTCCACCAATAATCCAGCTGAGGAACTGTATCCTCAGGTAAAATATGGCTTGCAGTGGAACAGGTGAGATTATAGCTTGCAAAAACATTCCTCAGTTGGAAAATCCTTCTCTTTGTGTTTATTGTGAGCTAAATTGCAATCAGGTGATCCAGAAACTGGTTTTACCTTGCTAGGAATAAGGTGTCCAACTGCTTTACAATATGGAAGAGGAGTCATCGTCCCCTGATGGAACGTGTACATTGCAGGCAAAAAGCCTCAGGTTTGGTTGCCAGCATCTCCAGTTAAGAGGATCAGGTAGCAATGGACCAACAATTTCTCAGAGAGACAGGGAACAAGCTGTCTGTTGAAGCAGACAAACAGATCTTGATCCTGACTGGATATAAGGCAGAATTTCCCTACTAACAAGGTGGATTTATCATGGTTTGAATAGATACTGTACTTAGATTCAGTTCCACAACATGTAGTAATCTCCAAAGACACAAGCCTAGTTTGAGAATTGCAATGGTTTTGGATGGCATTTATTGGACTGAGTCCTAGAGAAGATTAATAATTTCTGCAGAAGCCTACGGGACATGATAAAATTGGGTCCCCAAGCCAATAAAGGCTGGACCCTATTTACAAAACTTTTAAAGAAAACAAAATATAGGAATACATATTCTCACCATATAGAATTAGAATTTATAATTCCTATTCCATCATGAAATGTTTGCGCTATAAATCCAGTAGTATATTGGAACTAGGCTAGGCCCATTGAATTAGTGGCGATTTGTTAAGGCAGCTCCTCTGTGGATCACAGATTCAATGGGATTAGTTGTGACTAACTACTGAATTTTAGCTGCTTTAAAAGTATCACTTTTTCCCAATAAAATATATGATGTATTCGCGAAGGCTTTCATGGCCGGGATCTAATGGTTGTTGTGGGTATATAATGGAACCACAAAACGAAGCATCCACACCAGAATCAAAGAACATGAGAGACACTGCAAACTAAAACAACCGGAAAAATTGGCAGTAGCTGAACATGCCCTAAAACAAGCTGGACATGAAATTCTATTTCAACATACTGAAATACTGGACAACACCAGCAATCATTACATTAGCGTGCACAGGGAAGCCATTGAAATCTACAAACACCAGCAGAGCTTCAACAAAAACGAAGAAAGTTTAAAACTCAACAAAGCTTCGCTCCCAGCACTGAAAAATACAGCCTGCAAAACGTCAACGAACTCTACCCAGCCACAAGGACTACACACAAAAGACCAGCTAATGACACCCATCAATCACAGTGACAGATAATCTCTCCTCCTTATCACAACAATACACCCACAACAAAAACACACTGATCACCATAATCACCCATCTCCTGAAAAGGACAAAAGCTGATCCAACATCTATAAATACTCAACTCCCAAGCAAACTGCACCAGAGCACAGAGTGCTACTCCTGTCCTCTGAAGATGCCGGCCACAGAGACTGGCAAAACATTAGGAAAAACAACCTTCAGAACATGGCCAAAGAGCCCGAAAAACCCACAACAACCAAAATATATGACATTTAAATTTTTGTTTTCAAATTTTTAAAAATCTGATAAGAGCTCTTGACCCCTACAGGCTGCTTGGCACTTTGGTTTGTGCCCCACCTTTTGCACTTCTGCTCATTTCTCATGATATACATCAGTGAGCGGCAGCCATAACATAGGAACTCCTTCCTGGTGGTAAAACAGCAACACCAACATTCGCAAAGTGTCTGCAATACTTGCCCCAGACAAGACCAACAAATAAGCAGCCCTACTGAATGGTTCAGGACTGATACTGGGGTGGCCAACTTGTGGCCCTCTATATATTCTTGACCCGAAGCTCCTAATTTCTCCTGCTATGATCTCTTCCAACTAGGACACAGACTGGGGGAAGGGGAGGGCAGGTTCAACCCAACAACCTTTGGATGGCCACAAGTTGCCCAGCCCTGGCCGGTTGCAGTGTGACTCCATAGGAGACAGAGAGGAATCCTCTGTAGTACATTATGACATGTTTGCAAGACACTTTGAGGAGGAAAGTGCTTGCATGCACCACAGTCTAGAAACAGCTTAACTCAGGATGTGACTACATAGGGAGAAAAATGTGAATTGATCAGCTGTGAAGTCACACCTGGGAATCCAGGTTTACCCAGGTAAATTGGAGTTAACAGGCCATGCAGGGAAACAGTCTTGTTTGCATCTTGGTAACCGTTATCCTGTAGCAGAAGGCATGGCTACAGAAGACCTACCTTAATAAGCTATGAAAAAGGGCTTAGTACCAATTTCTCTCTCTCTCTCTCTCTCTCAAAAATAAAGACAGAAGGGTGGGGATTGCATGGAGGCTGAGTGAGCCAAAATGCACTTGTCGCTGCAGAAGAGCCAAAGTGAATGGTGTGGGACTGGCTCTAGCAAAGCAACAAACAACTGTGTGTGTGTATGTGTGTGCATGCGTGCATGTGCACATGCGCACGTGCACACAGACATGTAAAACTGCAGATGGGAGGAGGAAGAACAGTCAAGGGTGCTGGATAATCTCCTATTTCTAAGAGTCTAAGGATGTGAACAAGGCACCTGGCCAAGCATCTGCCACCAGCATGCCTTCTTCCTGCTATTATTTCTATCTGCTGCTTGGCAGATCTTGTTGAGAAGGGTGAGTAGTGCATTTGGCTGCCTTAAAGAAATTTGTGGCATGATGGCTTGACTGAAAGGAGTGCTCTTGGACGCAGAAATT